TTTCGCCGATTCCATCCAAAGACGGTCACCGCGCTCGTCAAGGCCGGGGATGGAGGCGAAGTCGACGTTGAACACACGGCCAGCGCTGCGGCGAGCGGCCATGCCGGCCTTCATGATGCGCCAGATGGCGCTCTCGACGACGCCGTTGTACTGCGGAACGCCAGGAGGTGTGAACTCGACGCCGATGCCGTTGTCGTCGCAGAAGCGCCGGAAGTCGCCGCCGGTCCACTCGGTGCCGTTGTCGACGCGGAAACACTCGATGCGCCCGAGGTCTTACCGCCCCACGTCCGCCAGCAGCCTTTTCGTTGCCGCCAGCGCGTCGGACTTCCGCCGGAGACCGTAGACCTTGTTCCATCGCGAGGCGCTGTCCACGGCGACGAACAGGTAGAGGTTGCCGCCCAGAGAAGGCACCAGCGGTCCACACAGGTCCAGGTGAACATGCCCCAGTGGCTTGGACGCAGCGTCACTCTCTGGGATCAACACGGGAAAATAATCTTGATACGGGGTGTCATCATAGCCATCCATGAGCTGCTCGTCGGTGAGCACACTTGCATCTTCAAGATCCATACCCGGAAAAGTACCCACAAACACAAACTCGGACGCCAAGGAAGACACTACGTCGGCAGAGCCGGCGGGCGGGACGCTCTCACTCGCAGGTACTACACTGGTGGGACCAGTGGGCGGGACGCTATCAGCCGAAGGCACTACGCTAGCAGAGCCAGCGGGAGGAATACGCAACATGGACACCAATGATTTCGCGGAGCCCCCCTTTTGGGAAGGGGAACGCGCGGAGCCAACGGCGGGGGCGGAACCGGGGGCAGTCACGAATGCGGGCAAAGCAGCAGGGTCTACAATAGTCGCAGATGGGTCGTACGGCAACCGCATAGCATACGCTGCAGACGCTTTTTCCTCTCTAGAAAGAGCAGTCCATTTTGTAGGGTTGCACCACGTTCGTTGTAGAGGATTGGATGCTTCAGAGAAACAGCATGCGTTGAGAACAAGTTGAAGCTCAGGCCCTCTACAACAGACACGTCAGTGAGCTTCGCACACATCGTCGTTTTCTCACCATTCTCATCCTCCTGAAAGAAACTAAGATTAGTACTACCGATGGCTTGCACTTCTAGCAGTCGACCATCACCTACAACGACATACTTCCTACTGGCGGGGATCTCTTGCAGGTCATACATGTGCAGGCTGCTGTTGGTGAATCTGTTGCTGGCTCCTGAGTCAGCTACCCATCTCTCGCTACCAGGCGGCCCCTCACTAGATTCCACACTCAACAAAGACGAAGCAGACGCAGCAGACTCTACTCCAATCGTCACTCCTATCCTACAAAAAAACTTCAGGGTGAGACTTGCCTCGGGGCACCGATTGTGCCGTGCAAAGGTGGAGGTATCCCGAAGATGGAGGCGCGCCAGGAGAAGGAGTAGAGGACGAGGAGGAAGCGGTGGTGCTGCTGCTCGCGGGGGGGGGGCTGACGTGTCTGCTCGGATGACGGATCTTCGCCGGCAGGAGGGTAGTACACGTAGTGGATGCCGCCGTCAGATGAGCGGCTGTCTTCGTACCCGGAGGAGCAGCTGTAGCTGTCCCCACCGCCGGCGTAGTGTGCGTACCCGGCGTCGTAGTAGCCGTCGTCGTAGAAGTATCCATCATCGTAGTTGCCACAGTCTTCGTAGTACCCACCATCATCGTGGGCGTGGTACGCAACGTACGCCTGCTCTCGTCCGTGTCGGCGCCCTCTCTCGAACGCGCGCGCCGCAGTTGCCGCTGGAAACGGCACTCCTCGTTGGTGTGAAGCTCGGACTGGTGGTAGCGGCAAAATCAGTAGGAATCGTCGTTGAACACATCGCCGTTTTTCTTCTCTCCGTCTCTATATAACTGTATCTTGCCCGCCAGCTGCTGCGTGACCGCCGTCTTGACCCCAGGATACCCCCCCACTGCCCCCGCCGCGCCGGCCCATGCNCGCCGGCCCATGCCGGACGCGGCGAGAGCGAGCTCCACCTGGCGCCTTTCCCCCTTGCTCCTCTCGCGCTCCATCTCCCCGTGGGCGTCCCTCACCACAGTCTCGAGGGTACGCAACGTCAGGACATCGTGGGCAAGCAGTAGTCCTTCTTGCACGACATACGAAGAGGGAAGGCCACGAGCAAGTCTTTTTTGTCATCTGTTTCATTCGTAATCAGGCCTACAGATGCGAGACGCAGGCGAAGGGCCTCTGAGCGGGCAATGTTATCCTGTGGGCTCTCAGAAGCTTTCATCTCCAACTCCTTCCAGTCCTGCTCCAACCTCGACTTTTCTGACTGCTTATTTTCCTGATAAAACTCTTGTGACTATATTCCAGACTTTTTGTGGACTCTCACACGCCAAATCAAGCTCTGAATCGGGCGGGGGGTACAAAACCCTGCTGATGAGAATATCCCATAGCTTGAAAGATTTGTCTATCACATCATTCCCAAAAAGTCTCCGAAGCTCTGCTACATTCACACCCCTCTTTCCGACCTTGACCTCGACCTCCAGTTCCAATGCATCATGCACACCCTCCTCCTGAAAATATTAAACCATTTTGCTACGAAAATATGAAACATAAGATACAAGTCCTGCTCCTTCTTCACGCTACCAAGCCAAGGTTCTATTTCTGAGTCAGGATTGACACGTAACGTGCCTGAGCGGGCAAAGCCCTGTTGTTCAGCAATGGCCTCAGCTGTGGCCTTAGCCGCTTGCGCCACGATTTGTGCGACGCTGCTGGAGTCGTTGAAGGTGGCTGGTTTGCCTTGGCTGGAGGGTGATGGCTGGTTGCCGGTAGGTGGGACTGGGTTGACGGCTGGTGGTTGGGCATGGGTGACTTCACCCTCGTTGATCCCGTTGGCTTCAAGTTCAGCTTGTACTCGTTGCTGGACGATCTCCTCCACTTTTTGCTATAGTTCTTCCCCGCTAAAGGCGGAGATGTCGATGCCCTCCATGGTGTATGTTGTTGTGGGAGTCTACCGATTGCGCGTGATTGCACAACCCCCGGGAGGCTACGCCCGCGCGCAGATACCGTGATATCGGCACACTCGTGTGAAAGGTAAACTAGGCGGGGTGCAGCAAGCCCGTCCTGGGCGTCAGTTGGGGCACTGGGTAGTCGGCCGTGTTAGGCCGAGAGTGAGAGGTTGAGAGAGAGGTGGAGAGAGAGTGGGAGAAGGAAACTTGATTGGAGAGAGACGGCGGTAGCGGTGGAAGGAGAGAAGGAAGAAAGAAGGGCGCAACACGCACGCAAGTCTCATCGTTCCAACCGCGCCAAAAAGGTCCCCGTGACTGCACCGGTGGTACCCTACAACACACGAAATTCCCAACACATATCCCCTTGGGATCCTCACGACCAGATACTGCTGCGAGTGTATCGAACACCCCAACTAGTGTTTCCGAATTTGTTAATCATGTTCTCTTTGCTGTCAAGACAAACGAATGCTGGTTGTTCGAAACATTACTTGTAGCGTCTCCGACCATGCAGAGGTAGGTAGAGAGAGGCAAAGAGACAAAGAGAAAGCAGTCATTGTGGCTGGGAGACGAACCACAGCAGAGCATGTACATATCGGCGGCAGCACCGTACTATTCTTAGGATGAAAATCGCGGGAGGGGGTCCAAAAAATGAAGAGAAAATGATACACTGTACGTCAGCGAACGATACATCGCACCCTCACCAAAACTCCTTGTCCGCACCGCGCGCGCACCTACCTGCTGCTGCGCCGGAGAGTTAATTGTCGTAGACAGCTTGCGTTTACACAGATGAAGTGCGAGCGCTTATCGGGAAGAGGCGAAAGACAAGAGAATGGCGAATGCGCTCTTTCTCGTTCTCTTTCTCTCTCTCTCTCTCTCTCTCTCTCTCTCTCTCTC